GAAAAATGAGATATATTTTCTTCATTTGATGCTCTTTGATTGATTGATTTTTTACAGATCAACATATTGTGGGTTATTTAAAGCTAGAAAATATTTTCAGACTACAAGAATTTTTTTTTGGAAGGGAGTTAATAATGGTTTAGTGATGCAAGTTCTACTAACCCATAGCTGGGGGGAGGCAGAAGAGGTGGATTCATACCTTTCCCAAAGATATTTGCCCATAAGTGAATATAACAAACCCAATGGAAATTGGAACTTGGCTCTAAAAATCCTGAGCCATTATTCATTATACTGCATGCATATCTGAGCTTACAGCACCTGGCTTTCCTAAGTGGTCAAACATCTATATACTGACCAGGGTCAATGTTGCTTAAGAAAGAGCCTAGTCTACACTGCTATTAACTCATAAGTGGAGTAATGGAAGGGAGAGGTGACCACAATGGTGCAAAATGTGCTAACTGAATAAATGATGAAAGAATTAAAATAAATACATTAGAGGTAAAACAAAGAAAATGAAAATGTTTTTTGTTTCAGTTAATTGAATAGTCAAGTGTTTAATTTTCCCTCTATTCAGTTAACAAAGATAAGATAGATTCCAACATGAAATTTACAATTGCCTTTGAAAGAAAGAATAAATGTCTGTCATCTAATATATAAAATTTAACCTTTATATGTGTCTCTATGGAAGATATGTCAAACAAATCTATATAGCATCAGTTACCAACTAGGTATTTATGCAGATGACACAACCATTTATTCCTGTCTTAGTAGCAAGTCTGACAGATCCAACAAAGTATACCTGGCAACTGGCCTTGAATAGCATCTCCAATCAGTGGTTAACTGGGACAAGAACTGGCTTGTAAATTTTAACAACTTCAAAACAAAACTGCTTTCATTTAATCACCACAGAGAACCATTTCTGCCTGCCATCAGCATGGATGATGTTAAATTTCAGGTGAGCAACACTTTATGCCTGCTTGGGCTTACATTTTCCACTGACGTGAAGTGGAGTGACTATATTGAATTGACTGCTACGTCCACTGCTAGAAAAGTTGGTTCACTGTGTTGTGGCAGATAATTTTTCCCATCAGAATCCATCTTGCACATTTATAAATCTACCATTTGTCCATGTACTGATTCCAGCTGCCATATCTGGTTTGGTACTCTTGCTGCATATTTTAGAATTCTTGACAAAATTCAAAGAAGGGTCTCTAATGAAATCAATCCTGACATTTTGACTTCAATCATATTCTAATCAATGTGATGTGGCTTGCCTTTATCTTTTCTACAAATATTTTCATGGCAACTGTTCTGATGAGCTTTTTCGTTAGTGCCTCAACTGCACAAATTTAAGCATATAACTAGATTGGCAATTAGGTCTCACAGTTTTACTGTTGAACTAGCAAGATGCAACAGTCTCTTCTATTCTAACAATTTCTGTGGAAATCATTTCCAATTTCTTGACTCCCTGCCACTTACAATCTTTCAAAATTTAAATGCAATGTCAATTAACATCTTCTGTCTTCCTGAACCCTATTCCTTTATTGTCCCTCACTCACTTCACCTCACTATAGTCTTCTCATTCACTTTCACTTCCAGTAAAACACCACTCCACCCCACCATATCCTATCACTTAGAGTGAAATGATTTTTAAAAATCTCAGTCTAACAATGGGCAAGTGAATGGCAAAATGGAAAAAACTCCTAAATTACATATTTTCCCACTATACAGTGGAGGGAAATAAATATTCATACACCAAAAAATTGTATTTCTGCTGGTGGTATGGGTAATTTAGAGATAATAGATGGTAGAATGAATTCAAAAACATACCAAGATGTTTTGGGCTCTAATTTGTTTGGGTCATTAGTAAAGCTTGATAATGACCATAAACATATGCCTAAATCTATGAAAAAATGGTTTATTGAAAATAATATCAATACATTCAAATGGGAATTACAGACTTCAGACTTGAATACAATAGAGAATTTGTGGTGTTTATTAAAAATTCAAGTTAATAAAAGAGCCCTGAGAAATATCCTGGACCTAAAGAGAATATACAAAGAAAAATGGAGTAAAATACCAACAGAAAGTTGCAAACCATTGATTTAAAATTACAGAAACAGACATATTGCTGTTGAATTGGGTAAGGGATATGCTACAAAGTATTAAATAGGTATTATAATGTTGTATGAATACTACTTTTTCGCTTCCAAATTTTTTAATTTCATTAATATAACAAATTTTTTAAAATCTTTTTTTTTTTATATTGCAGCATTATACCATGGTATACAAATACTATATGGATTATGAAATTCTTTTATAAAATTTAAATAAAAAATTCATAGTGTATGAATATTTCCCCCCCCCTGCACTCATATATATATATATATATATATATATATATATATATATATATATATATAAGTTTCCTTAAAATTGACTGACAAGGTACTATGGTTAAGTTTTTTAATTATTTTTTTTTTGTGTTCTAATAATTTTCCTTTTTTCTGGACATAAGTCATGTAGAAATTTTCTATGTCCAAGCACTTTCGCCTGTACTTTTAGCCTTTATCAAGGATGATTTTATTTTTTACTTTTAATTGAATGTATGGATTGTTTTATGTATGTATCTAGAGTAATAGGAATGTTTTATTTTTCAAACATGGTCAGCACATTGTGGCTATGTACATAGTTATTTAGTGCCTTAAATTGGTATAATCATTCTTTCTATACACAACCAATCTGTAGTTTGTTTATATTTATTTTGCATTCAATTTTTATTTTCTTTTAAAATCATCCTTCTTTATGACCCCTTCACATAAAGTCACTCTTAAAAGACATTAGGGAACCCTAACTATGCAATAATTTGAATACATCTTAGTATGTGTGCTAGAAAAAGAAAAAAACTATATCAGCAACGTACCATGCCCCACTTAAGTTTTAATTATGGTTTAATTAGACAATATCAATTGCAATTGAGATGAAAAGAGAAATTAAACTTAAACTTTTAATAAAGAATTGTTTTTTAACCATTTCACTTTGCTTGATATTGAAATTTAACATTAAATGAGTTATTAATTTAATTTTTAATCATGTATAACTACAGTACCTACTAGGCCTGGGTACCCTACTTCTGTAATTTATCCCAAGAATCTTCTCATAACAGGAAGAAGCCGGCTCAATCCGCCCAGGGTGAATGCCGCATCAGTACAGTACAGTACCTACTACCTGTTATTTCAGGTTGTTTATGGTTCATCAATAATGAAAAAATGGATAGACACATGTACACTGTGCTTTATTTATATAGATGCTTCCATTAGTTTTATCCTTTTTTTTTACATGTAGATAGGGCTATTATATTTGCATTATCAACTAGTATATTCCAGATGAAGTTTGGTAGGTCTCCATGTGTATTTAAATGAGACCTAATTGAGCTAAGCTCAGAGAGATGTAATATGAGTCTTCTTGTTAGGCATGTTGTAGTATATCCAATATAATTATTTATGAATTTGGTTTGATTCTTTAAGGGACATGTGAATTTTTAAATGATATTAATGAAACTTGTATAAAAGAGTGATTGCTGCACAAATATACAGTTTTCTATCTATCTGTCTATCTATCTATCTATCTATCTATCTCTCTCTCTCTCTCTCTCTATATATATATATATATATATATATGACTCCATTGATAAAAACCATTATTAGTTTTGAAAAAGGCTCTTGTTGGGTTGAAAGACAAAGCATAAAAGCATTTTATATTTTGTCAGTCAATAAACATGTTTCTTAAACATTTGCAGTATGAAATTCACACAGACTCATTATTTCTGGAAATTTTTTAAAATCAACATGAGAGCTATTTTTTAGCTTGTCTTCTTTATTTATTTTTTCATTCATGTGAGTAATTTAAGGTCTTAAAATAAAGATCATAAATTGTTCTTTATGACACCAATAAACCATTACTTAGGCCCAATGTCCATTTGTGTCAACAACATTCTAGATAATCTTTCTACTGTGGGATTATCCATAGCTGTTAAAATCTCTTGTAGGCTTACAGCCATATCACATTGAAACACCAGTTCTTGTACAATCACCAAAGTTTAGCAATATGAAGCTTAGTCAGTACCTAGATGGGTGACCACTTAGGAATACCATGTGCTGTAAGCTTGGATGTACAGGTGATGTAATGGATAAAGGCTCAGAATTGGATCTCAGCTCACCAATTTCCAATTCCAGTTGGGTTCATTATATTCACTTACACAGGAATACTCTTGGGAAAGGTATGAATATACCTCTTCTCTCCCTCAGCTATGGGTTAATTAGTAGAATTTGTATCAGTAAAAATCATTATTATCTCCAAAACATTTTTAAAATCTAAAAATATTTTCTAGCTTAAAATAACCTGTAAAAGATTGATAAGCCATAAAAAACAAATTAATCAATTAATTGATTCTTTAAGGGACATGTGAATTTTTAAATCATATTAATGAAACTTATATAAAAGAGTGATTGCTGCACAAATATACAGTTTTCTATCTATCTGTCTATCTATCTCTCTCTCTCTCTCTCTCTCTCTATATATATATATATATATATATATATATAATATTCTATTCAGTTTTTGTTTTACAGATATAATATCTGTATCCATGTCTAACTACATTTTTACAGCTTCTGGTAACTGAGTTTTGAATTCAACGGTTTTTTTCTTCTATACTGGTTACCAACCACAGCTAGTCTGTCCTGCAACTGAATGCATGTTCATTATACCGATGAGAAAAACTGATTGTAGGTTTTTATATTTAACAACAGTTGGAATAAATACAATTGCAGAGTACCATTTAATAATAATAACAAATAAATAGATTTTACAGCAATTATTTCTCAGTTACATTTTTAGTTTTCTTCAAAGCTTAGTTTACATATTAAAGTGGATCTTATGAAACAAAAATATCTCATAATGTTGAGCTTAGATTTAAAATCTAAAAGTTAAGTACTTGCCTGAGTCTCCAAAGACTTGATCCGTGTTTCTGCTTGTTCAAGAGCAAAATTCAGATCTTCCTTTTCATGATCAAATGATTGAGAAAGAAACTCTTGTTCCAGCTGCTCCTGTTAGAAAAGAGAAAAAGGAAGAAAAATGAATAAAAGCTCTTAGTGAGACAAATTCACATTTCTTTTGTCTTAAAAATGTTGGATGAACACACCAACTTCTCATACCAACTGAACTATGAGAACTTAACAGCTTACCCGAAGATCAAATTTAATCATTAAGCTTATTGCAGGAATGGAAAATATTATCATTTTATGCTTTCTGGTATATTTGTCCTGCAAACAATATTTGGCAGACTCATGTGAGTTAAGGTTTTGTGATGTTAGAACGCTCACTTGTAACTTTTGTTAGGTCAACGAATGCTCATCTATCACTTCCAAAATGCTTGTTGTAGTCAAGACTTTGTAAACGCAGATACTGGTAGTAGTAATGCCTTCAATAATACTTGCACTAATAATACTTGTTCAAATAGTAATCACCGAATAGTAATTTGTATAATGATCAGTATAGAGAAATAGTATAGTGGATAGTATAGAGAATAATGATCACTTAGACATCACGCTAATTCCCATTCATATGTTTCCTTTACAATCATGTGATCTACTTATTTAATAATGTGATTGCTCACTGGTGATCTGCATTCAAACTACAGTGTCAGCAATGACACTTTATTCCTATACAACACAATGTTAAAAAAAAAAGGATACAAAACATGGAATTCAAGCAAACAACAATTAATAAATGTATTAACAAAACATGTTACCAAAAGGATAAAGAATAAATGAAGAGCTTTTTTCACTGGTGACCCAAATACATAAATTTAATTGTGCTATTAGAATGGCATCTAGGTCCCACCATCTTTCTGTTGAAATAGCTAAATGCAATCACCACTTCTACTCCAACAGTTTCTTTTCTCACACTTCCCTCTTGTGGAACTCCCTTCCATTTCCTTACTTACCTGTTAACTACAATCTTCAAAATTTCAAACACAATGTCAATCACCATCTGTCTTCTTTAATCCTGTTCATCTTTAGTTCTTTCTATTCTCAGTCCTCTCTTTCACTTTCACTACCTGTAACCCCCTGCATACTAGTGGCATTACCACCACTACTTGGGGTGAAATGATTTAAAAAAAATGTTATTGACAGTTCAATACAATCTTCAGTCAATGTCTCTGAAGTACTTATATGCCTTGTCTCTGTTGGGGCAAAAGGAAATGTGTCTTACTGCTCCAAAAGTCAAAAAGAAAAAAGGAAGAGCCTTTCAAATATCATGCCACCTGTGATTATCATCAGGAGGCAGTAAATCAATCAAGCCCACCCTAAAATTACACAATCACTCTCATTGAAATATATGTTTTTTTGTTTTTGACCAATAGTCTTAATAACAGCATTATTACTTTTTTCCATCTGAGGAAAGTGGAAAGAAGGACTCAGGACAACCCATCTTCTGCCAACTATGCATTGACCAGACAGAAATCACACACTTACTTTTTTATGCTTAGACAGGAAGAGCAGCCAGAATGTGCAGTATTTCAGACACTACACATGGTGAAGCACTTCATGATTGATTGAGGTGATCTTGTTCTCACTCAACAGCATTTTTATAGAACAAACATCATGAGGGATTTATCTGAAAATGTCGATGTAGTTGACTTAATATCCTTCATAAAGGAAGTTGGTTTATATTTCGATATATATTTATATATATATCAAAATATAAAGTTTATATATAGCCTATATTTCAAAACATGAGGATCTGACTAGACATATATTGTTCAAGAATTATTAGTTCTTGATTTTAAGCGCAGTACTATATTGGCAACAAGGTCTCATCATTTTACAGCTGAAATGGCGAGATGTAACTGCAAATTCCATGCTAACAGTTTCTTCGATTGCCCTTTTCACTTGTGGAACTCTCTTCTGGCTTCTAGCTTTCATCAATTTTGATCTTTAAAAATTTAAATGTATTTTCAATCATTATTTTCTGTTTTCTTCATTATTGTCCTTTAATTATTCTCTTTCCTTAACAGTATTTTTCTTTTTTTTTTTCTCTCATACTCTCTAACACTCAGTATTCCGTTACATCTTAATGACTTAAAATATGTATAAAACATTAAAAATTGAGAGAAATGTTCTTGATGGAAATTTATTCAGAAAGGCTAGCATTCTTCTTCTTCTATGTGCCATGTCACTTCAGGATGTTGGCAATTATAGCTTTCCACAATTTCCTATCCTTTGTAGCACTTAATAACTTTTGTTTTTCTGTTATCTACCCCAAAAGTTATTCTACCATCTATTTGCTCAAACTCATTAGGTAAGTTATGTATTGCTTCCCACTGGTCCTCTTACCTTCAATCTGCTCTGTGAGTATCAAATTTCCCAGGCCCTCTTTCCTCATTGTATGCCTAAGAAATTTCAACTGCTCTTCTTGATGTTAAGCATAAGTGTCCTTTTTGTTGCCATTGTCTCTAGAACTTTGTTGTTGCTCACATCTTTGGTCCATGGCATGCTCAGTATTCTCCTGTAGAACCACATTGCTGTTGTTTCAAGTTGCTTCTTCATCAATGAGGAGATTGTCCAGCATTCACTGTCATGTAGGAGAACTGATATTACATAGCAGTTCAGTACTCTTTTTTTGTTGTTGTTGCTAACAATATTTTTCTTGTTTCTTAATACTTTGCTCAGCTTTTAAAAGGCACCTTTTGCTATCCCAATGTACCTTTGAATTTCCATGCCACACTTTCCACCCTCTGTTAATATGCTTTCCAGATATCTAAATTATTGCACCTGATTTTTTTTCTGTTATCTCCAATCTGTAATTAGCATGTTGGGATGTTCCTTTTGCTGACAACTATGCATCCAGTCTTCTCACGATTAATGTTTTAGTCCTTTATTCTTGCTTTCTTTCACTAACTCTTGTAGGAGTTCTTAGTTCCCTTTCTGTGTTTGCTATCAACACTAGGTTATGTGTGCATCTTATGTTGTTAAGATTGTGGCTACTAATAATGAATGCTAGTAAGATAACTAATTCTATCAGAATGGACTTGTTGTATAGGTTGAAAAGGTCTGGTGAGAAGGAAGTCCTTTGAGACATAAATCTGCACCTGGTGGACGTCATCTTTCAGGTCAACTTGCTGATGCACCTGGCTTCTCTGATGCTCTGGTATAATCCTGAATGCAAAATTTTGATATTTTTTAAGGTTAACCCAGTACATATAGGGGTAATCAAAGATCAACTTTTCTTTGAACAAATGTTCCTTATTGGCATTAAATTTGATTCAGGCCATCTGGTATTTTCTGGCATGAATCATATACTACAAATATGTTTGCATAAAATCTTTGCAATTAAATTTGGAAAAATATTTTAAAAAATGAACAAAGATATAATGAAAATTCTCTACAGAAGGAAAAGACAGTAATAACATGGACATAAAAATGTTATTAATTTATTTTTAGAATAACATTACTTTGATCGCATAATACTTCAATCTTTTATTTACCTTTAAATTCTCACATTCTTGTCTCAGTTTTTTATTTTCAATTAGCAGTTCAGTATTCTCAGCTTCCATTTTAGCTCCTTTAATGAATAAAATAAGAAAAAAATTAAATCATATAAATAAGATATTATAATTCAGTCTATTGTATAGTAAATATTTGTAGAAGTCACTCAATCTGAGTGTAAGTAATTTAAATAAAGACATAGCTTTCTCAAAAAAAGACTGTGGCCATAAATGATCCAAATTTTGTTTTAATTATGATTAATTGTTGCCAACAAGGATTATACAAAAAATATTAGGGTCTATCAAAAGTGCACGCCTTTTAAAAGGCCTTTACACCAAAGCGTATGCACACATCTAAAAGCTATCTATAACTACATTACATTATTTATATTATTCTCTCTATCTCTCTCGCCCTCTCCTGCTATCTTTTTCTCTCTCTCTCTCTTTCTTTTCTCTCCATCCATATATATATATACATATATATATATATATATATATATATATATATATATATATATATATATATATTTTCTCTACTGTTCAGCAGTATTTTTGTTTTAGATATGATAATTGCAGGTACAATTATTGAGTATCTGGCAATTTTGTAGCTTCATTTTCAGTTATTATTGTCTTGCTTGGGCTGAAATGATTAAAAGATAAAAGTAAACACAAGTTTCTACTAGTAGTTCCTTTTATAAAAAGAGGTGGTGAAGTTTACAAAAAAACACTAATCGAAACTCACACATCAATGAAAATGAAGCCAATCAAAGCAACCGAAAACTTTCAAAGAGCTTGAATCATTTAAACCTATCATATGTGAAGCTTTAAATATGCTTAAAAATCAAGATTTGTAAGAAATGAAAATACTTTTGATACACTCTCATATTTCAAACCAACACAATATTCTTTCATCATTTCCTGCTGGTGACTCTCAATTTCTCCAGACTACACAAAATGGATTTACTGTTTCTCTTAAAAGACTAATTCTTTCTTTTGTATTGATATTAACGTCCATGAGTTTTTGCTACAAATTCTTTTCCCCCTTTGTTCAAGACTATCTATGCTTCATCCTTTCATCAATGTTACTCAGCTATTAAAGTTTATGAGATATTTTCAACTGTTACACAATTTCTTTCACCCAGGATAACACCAAAACTCAAACTTTCCTTAACATTACTTCAGCACTAATGTTATTGAGTTTCTTTCACACAAACTCAATCTTTCTTCAAGGACTCAACATCAAATTCTTGAGCATTTGCATTTGTTTACACTCCTTTTATTAATCATTTGCATAAACATTCTTTATACCTTCGAGGGGCTAATAGGCATAATTTGATATTTCTTTTCAGAACATCCCTGAAAATCATTTATACTTCTTTCACTTGAATATCTTTTGTATGTATTTTGGTTTTGTTGCAAAAATAAAATTTGGCTTTATCTTAATCAAATACTACTGGCTTATTGTTTTGTACTCAGATTGTTGTCAACTTACTATCTTTTGAACAATTTCGTTTGTGGACTCTTTTTTACCAACCACACACTTCAACAAGTGGTGATCATACACACACTCCCACAACACTCTCTCTCCCACTTTCCTCTGTCTCTCTCTCCTCTCTGCCCCCCCTCTCCCAAAGAGTCAGTATGTACATATGTATTTATGTGTGAAAAAAATCCTCAAGAGTCAATGCTGTGGAAAAATTCAAAGTCGGAATCCCAAAGACTTTATTCAGCAACATCCTGGCAATTCATGGGATGATACTGGAAACATGTGCATCAGCATTTTCACGAGGGACCTACTCCATGAGTCTGTCCTCTATAGCTATCTACCCAAGACGCTTTCACTGGAAAGATGGGAGGAGCAGTCTAGACACTGTGATTGAAACATCATCCAGATCACAACTCCATAGTATACAAAAACTCATGGTTACCTAATCCAATCTAATCTTCTATAAGAAATAAATTTTGACTGTATAAAACATTTCCAATAAGTAAACATATACATAAACAATTTATTTAATTCATGCAATTATATATACATACATATATATATATATATATATATATATATATGCAATTAACTATATATATATATATATATATATATATATATATACAATTAACTATATACATATATATATATATATATATATATATGCAATTAACTATATATATATATATATATATATATATATATATATATATATATATATATATATATATATATGCAATAAACAGTCCCTTTCAGGAGAACACTCTCCTGTTTCTACCAAAACTGTCCTTTTCAACACAACACTCTCCAGTGATCACATACCTGTCCTTCTCAGGACATCCACTCTCTAGTGAACACAAAACTGTTCTCAGGACAACATTCTCCTTCTCAAAACTGTCCTTCTTGGGACAACTATTTCTCACCCTCTACAAGATCTTACAGAGATTTTTTTTTTTTTTTTTGCCTGGTTCACACTAACATTATTTTTGTTTATGAATTTTCTTTTAACAAAAATAAACTCATTCAATATCTGTTTGCAGGCCAATATACCACCTGCAACACTAGTATTACTATTATTATTTCCAGTTTTCTTGATTTGATACAATCCTTTACCATGTCTTTTACTTTTCAAGGTTTTTCTTAGAATGTTATTGAGTATATTAAATTGAGAGAGTTTTTCTAAGTATGTGAGAATTGCATATGAATACAATCTCTTGTTTCTCAGATAGTGAAGGGTTTCTTGGTATTTTCTTAATGTATGTATCAGTTGTCTTTTTAATCATTCCTAGTTCTATTCCAGTTATTACTGGAATAGAGGAGATGTTTAAATGCCACATTCTTACAATTTCTCTTTCTCGGTTCTTGCTTTCTGAAAGTTTCCTAAATTCTTTTGCTTGAAGTAATTCTAAAAGACCTACCAAGATCAATTATTGGTAACCACAATCATAACAATGTAAATAATAAGGATTTCCTTATATTTGGTTCCCATATTGGTTTTTATATTTATTTAGTTATGAATTGGTAAATAAAAAATATTACATTTCATTAGTTTTAATATAATTGTATTAGTTTTTAGAATGTTGTAAAGATAAAATTATTCTTGTAAATAAACAATCTAATAAATAAAAAGTGATTAATATTGTTGTTGTCAATTCACAAAGCAAAAATTCACAGAACAAAAAATGTATAAATTCACTTTCATCATATACAGTGGAACCTCAATTTGATGGACTAATAGGGGGGATTGTCTGTTAAAGCTGTTTGTTCATTAATTTGAAGCACTTTTTTTCATGGTCTAAAAACACCCAGTACAGTACAAAATTATTGTAAATAAATGTAAATACAGTATAAATGTATGTTTATTTTATTTTTAAGTGACTATATACCTTTAAATAAAGTTTTAAAGTTAAATTCGGAGTCTGTAGGTTCCAGAACCATTAATTCAGGGTTTTTAAAATAATAAATTGCCGAGCTGTGAAGGGAGTTAAAATAATAGTGGTCCATTGACACTCCGTTTTTTTTTTTTTTTGCTAGCACGAAGGTCAAGTTTGCTCTTTACTTATTGAGCTCATCATCTTTCCTAGAATGTGCTTAAATGTTTCATTAGTTCATTGTATTAGTTTTAAAAAATTCTAAATATAAAATTATTCTTGTAAATAAACAATCTAATAAATAAATAGTGATTAAAATTGTTGTTGTCAATTCTCAAGAACAAAAAAAATATATTCACTTTCATCATATGTTTAGGTTTTATTACAATTCTAATCATCACTTTTTAAAACAATAAATATTGCTGAGGGGTAAAGGTAGTTAAAATAATAGCAATGTCAATGTTAAAAGCTGTCCATTTGACACCTTTTTTTTTTACCATTTATTTTGTGGGCACATTTATCCAAGTTTGCCAAAATAATTATATTTGTTCTGCTTAAAGTGAAATGATACTTTAGTAGGAACCTCATTAAATTATTTGCATATACGATATACAGCTGACACTGTAGGAATGGCACACAGAAAAAAATGCATGGTCTCTGAAAAAAGATAGTCCTTACTTCTTGCTTCCCTTTACTAACTATCAATTATAAGAAGACAGAATGTATGGTTGTCAGCAAGAGAAACAATCCAAGATGTGAGCTATGAAGTGAAGATATCAAAATCAAATGAGTAAAAAAATTTAAACATCTGGAAAGTGTTTTAACAAAGGATGGAAAATGTGACACCAAAATTCAGTGGCACATTGGAATAGCAAAAACTGCCTTCCAGAAGCTAAGCAAAGTAATAAGAAAACAGGAAAATTTCATTAGAAACAAAGAAAAATGTACTCAACTGCTATATAATATCATCTCTCCTATATTGCAGTGAATACATAGATGAAGAGGAGACTTGAGGCAACAGAAACGTATCACAACAGAAGGATGATGAAAATACCATGGACAGAACATGTGACTAATGAAGAAGTTTTAAGGAAAATGGAAACAAAAACAAAAACATAGAATCAGAACGAGACATCTGAAATTTCTAGGGAACATAATAAGTAAAGAAGGCTTGGCAAATTTGACACTCACAGGACATATTAAAGGCAACATGGAAACATTAAGTAACCTACCTAACAAGCCTGTGTAAATGGATAGCAGAACAGGGAGGGAAAGTGAGAGTAAAAAACAGATATTGCTAAGAGCTATGAAAAATAGGAAATCATGGATAATCGTGATTGCCCATGCCCTGAAGCAATATTGCACATAGAATAAGAAGTTGAGGTTTATCCCTTGTTTCATGTTTAAGATTGGGTTTCTGGTTCATGGTAAAGTCTACTTCACCTCTATACTTCTAATGTCTCTGCCTGAACTCTGAAATTTTATTTACTATTTATTTATTTATTTTATTTTTTCCTCAATAGGAATAAATAGATTTGCCTATCATCCTGTTCACACTCCTCCCCTGTCTTATGAATGGAAGTAAAGATTTATCAATTGTTTCCTGTTTAAGATTAGGTTTCCGGTTCCTTCTAAGGTCTTTCTCATTCTCTTTCACTCCCAGTAACCATGTGAGTTTTAGTGGTGTTATTACCTTGCTTGGGATGAATTGATTAAAAAACGAAAATGATAGATAAGCAATGAACTATAATGAAGTTGATAACACAAATAGTCATAGCCAATTATATGAAGGTTTGTAACAAGAACAAGTAAAAATAGACTAGAAAGAAACAAAAAGGAAACACAAAAAGTATGAAATATTTCAGATTCAGAGACAAGATTGTAACAATTGTTATGTGGAATGTAAGAATTCTGTGGTTAGACATTTGCATAAAAGTACTGACATTTACATAGAAAAATCAAGGTTTCAATATTCTAAATTTGTGGGAAGAATTCTTGAGAAACACACACGGAAGGATAAAAGACAATAAGTAAGTAAACACTGAAAATATATCCAAGTGTCTTTACTTAGACAAGCTAAAATGAGTAAACAAGTAAATATTTCCTGTCTATAAAGAAAAAGAATATTAAAATTGTTTTCATAAGGAATGCTTTATAGAATAATTTTGCCACCATGAAAATATATTTGGTTTATAAAAGTTTCCAGATTATTTTTGACAAAATCTTTTTAATTCATATAAATTCATGGCTTCATTATTCACTCATCAATATATTTTTATGGTTATCTATGTTGATAAACAAAACATTGTAAACTTATAACTATTTCCATGGCAAATGGGTGGATGTGCAGTTGGTGTAATGGCCAGCAGTGTGGAATGAGAAATCAGAGAGCTTAGTTCGAATTCAAGTTGAGTTGGTTACATTCACTTACACACAAAAACTTTTTTTACACTGATGTTTTCCCTGTACAAGAACCAATGGTTACTGAAGGTAGAGGGTTACAGAGTAAAAGGCATAGTTTATGTGGATATGTGTGGATGATAATGGTTGACCCTAGATTTGAACAGGTTAATTTTGTAGTGATCAGGGAAGCATCGTCTTGGGAGTCAGTTCCACAAAGCAACAGTTTGTAAGTTGCTCAAGTGGAACTTACATGTCACCAAAGGAATACAAAGGGAATCAGGGTGGTTCACTACAATACTTGGTAAAGTTATGAATCTATTTAACCCAGCTATGGGTTAAATAGTAGAACTTGTATCTGTAAAAATCATTATCACCAAAACATTGTTAATACAATATTCCCTTGGAAAAAAAAACTTATTCTTACAATCCAAAATATGTTTCATCTTTAAATAACCAACAAAGGGTTGATAAGCCATAAAAAATAAATTAATCAATCAATCAATCCATGGTAAATGTTCAGATGAGCTATGTCCCTTAGTTTCACCAGTTTAGGCCTTACAATTAGGATCCACCATTTCACCATTTCATATACATAGGGTTAAATCATCCTCATCCCATTTAAATCCTATTGTTAAGAAGAAAGTTCCAACAAACTCCTATAAGGACACTTTCTCAAGCACTACAATCTTAACTACTTCAGGTTTAGGGTCAACTATTATCTATCCCACATATTCTTATTATCTTCACTTACTTCTTCCTCTTACATCCATACACCAACCTCATTTAGTAGTTTTTACTTGCAGTAGGTACTGTATAGTATTTTGGCATTATTTACTAATATCTGTCTTATATTGTTACAAACAACCAAAATACAATTATCAAAATAAGATTAATATTATTAAATAAGACCAAAATACTATACAAAGTGCAAAGAAAGACTCAAAATTCTAGAAGACATTATTCTCCAAATTAAACAAATCACATTAAATGAAATTGTCACAGAAGACGGTGTTTTGATGTGTGCATTAGTTACAGTTTCTGGGAAAGGGTGCATAATCTGGTGTGAACAAGGCCAGTAAACTCAAACTTTTGTTCACAATGATTTGTGAATTCATGTTAACACAAGTACAGATGGCTTTCAAATAGTAAATTTGCCAACCCAATTTTACTCAGAAAGGTTGGGTCAGCCTGTGGTATGGTCTTCAGGCAATTCCCACTGGTGTCTCAGGCTAGAATCATTTCCCAAGCTGATATTATTAACATCATTGACAAATTGACCCTGGTGAAATTCCAGTTCAGTTCTCATAGTCAGAATACTAATCACTCAGTCATGTGCCAATTTGTTTTTAAACACACATGCAAGCAGGCCCACACACACACACACACACACACACACACACACACACACACACACAGAGAGGGGTATGCAGGCCCACACACACTCACACATACACACAGGCCCACACATGCTCACACAGGCACACAGGCCCACACACGTTCACACATACACAGAGGTACACATTCCAACACACACTCACACACAAACGCTCACACATACACGCTCACACACACACATACACACACACACACAGAGGCATGCAGGCCCACACATGCTCACACACAGATGCAAACAGGCCCACACACACTCACACACACACAGGCACACAGGTCCACACACACACACACACACACTCACACACACACACACAGAGGCATGCTGACACATGCTCACACATACACACACACAGGCATACAGGCCCACACATGCTCACACAGGCCCACACATGCTCACACACACACATACACACACACATACACACTGAAGTATGCAGGCCCACGTACGATCAAATATACACACATACACATAGGCACGCAGGTCCACACATGCTCACACAGGCATGCAGGCCCACACACACTCACACATACACACACACATACACACACAGAGGAACTATGGACCTCCCCCCACACACAGATATATATATATATATATATTTAAAATTGGTTATATTTATAAAAGAAGAATATCCAGTATTGGATATAGAGCATTTGTAGGTATAGAGAGTGGAACACACAGTCTGATGATTTCGATAATTGCTTAAGCCATGAAACTGAGAGTCACTATGTAGTATTGATTTCTATTTCCACACTGTTAATATCTGCAAGTGTTCTATCTTCAATATTGAGCACTTTTTTTGTAAATAGATGAAATTGCCCATTATTCTCATCAAAGAAATCATTTTTTCCTGGGATATGTGTCCTCAAGGATGGAGCGGATAAAAGAATTGGTGACTTGATCCAAAGAGTTGTGAGTTCAATACCTAGCTACTGCAGTGATGAACAAAAACATGGAGAGTTGAGTTAAAGGGAGATAACTGAGACATCTGGAAGAGGCATGGCATGTAGAACTAGAAAATGTATCCCAGTTTATGAAATAAAGAGTTCAGTTTGAAATTCCAATCATCTGAAGAAGGCCAGAGCCTACAGTGGCCAAAACATTGAATATGGCAACAAAGATGAGGACAACAGTTTGAACAATGTAAATAGTGTAAATAAAACTTATTATATATAAATATTTTTATTGTTTGAAAACCTACTTCTAGCCACTTCTTTCACAAAATGATGTAAATAATTTAGATTCTGAAACAAGGCCTCAACCTGGTGCCAATTTTTCACTGCCATAAGGTTGCCTCCTTTAGCCTTTTCTATAAATATCTTTATGGTAATTGTTTGGATGAGGTCTCCACTGTGGTGCATAGACTCTTTGAATTTAAATGCAGTACTAGACTGGCAACAAGGTCTCACCAATGTACAGTTGAGCTGGCTAGATGTAACCATAAATTCTATGCTAACAGTTTCTTTTCTTCTCTTGTGGAACTCCCTTCTGTCCCCATGCATTTCAGCCAACTTTAATCTGCAAAAATTTAATTGCAATGTTAATTATAACTCTTCCTCTGTTCATGCTTCTTAACAATGTTCCTATTTCTAACTTTTCTATGTCCAGTAACCCCTTGCATCTCAGTGGCTTTACAGCCTTGCTTGGGGTGAACTCGATTAAAAAAAATACTCATTTTTAAGTCTACTTTTGATTAAAGAGCTGACTTTGACATTAATCCAGTTTTCTTGATACATAGATGCATATGGTAGTTAAAAATGGTGTCTGTGTATAAAAGAATTTCATACCAGCTTTTCTGGTTACAGACTGCTTGTCCAAAATCTTCTGTAAATAATCTATAACCTTTTCTTGTTTAATGCACAAATCTTCCAGTTTTGTTAATTTCTTTGCTCTGGCTTGCAACTGTTGAACCAACTTCTGCTGTGATTCATGGGCCTCAGACACACAAAGGATTTCTTTCATCTGGTCATTTTTCTATAAAAAAATAATTCACAATTACATTATAAACCAAAACTGACAAAAATCACATTGTGCATTTACATTTTTGCATTTGTCATAAACACAATAGTAGTGTGTATTTTATATAATCTATAAATAACCTATTCTTTCTAAATCTTCTCTTTCTCCTTCTTGCTCTCTTTCTGTTTGTCTGTACTTTCTACTTACTCCCTCATTCTTGGTGCTTTACTTTTTCTCTCCACCTGCTACTAACCCTCTCCTTCTTACTCCACCCACTACTTACTCTCTTCTTCACCCTTTCCATTTCTATTCATTCCCTACTTACACTCTTCCTCTTGCTCTCTTTCCCTTTCTCTGCATTTTCTATTTACTCCCTCCCTATTGTTTCTTTACTTTTTCTCACACTGCTATTGCCCTCTCCCTCTTTCTTCATTTTTATTTCTCTCCAGCTCTTACTTACTTTCTCCCTCACCTTTTCCCTTTCCCTCTATTTCCTACTTACCTGCTTCCTCTTGCTCTCTTTCCCTTTTTCTCCATCATTTAAGTATTCTTTCCTCTCACTTCCTTTTTTTCTCTCCCACTTCTACATTTTTCTCTCACTCCCTTTCTATTCTCTACTTATTCTTTCCTTTTACACAAAACAAGATTGAACAACAAATATTTAAGATGATCTTAGAAGTTATTTTAAACT